GTTAAGGAGACAAAAAGAAGATTTCAAAAGGCATCCTGTGAAGACAAAGTATTATAATGAAATATGCAAGGCCCTGCAGTTGTAAAATCAAAACGGATGAACAAGCTTAGCATTTCTTAAGCTGAAGGAACTGAAGAACAGATTCAAGCCTAGAGTTGCAGTACTTAGGCTGCTGAAGGCAGAATGTTCAATGACCTAGGAAGCATCAAAAGAAGATGGAAGGAGTATAGAGCTCCTATACCAAAAAGAATTGGCTGACACAGAGAATGTCATTCTAGATAATATGCAAATTAAAAGTACAGTGCTTCAGTTTAGATGAAGCTATTGTTGTTGGGTACCATATAGTCAGAACTGACTCATAGCTAACCCTCCAGTGGGTTTGCAGTAGCAGGAAACTATGTGGGAGAAGATTGCCCAGCTTTCTCATTCAGAGCAGCTGGTAGATTCAAACTGTGTACCTTTGTGTTAGCAGCAGTTCCTTGCCACTAAGCTAACAAAGCTCCCTGAAATGAAGCTAGGTGCAACCTATTATAACAATCCCTTAGACCTTTATTGATATATATTCAGACTAATAAATTACAATTTCCTGCTCCAGTTCAATTCATTCTATTTTCCTTGAGCCTGGCTGCATTGCAAATTTCAGGGGAAAAACTCTTCTCTCTAATAACTGACTAGTTACATTATTTTCTGTTTCTTGTGCAGAAATTCACTAAATGAATTTCTTCTTCTTCCCCAAATTTATTCAGGAAGTCCCAGTCTTTAGATACACTCATATTTCAACTCATCTTTAGAATGTTCATAATAGTACATTTTTCTTTATTTTTGTCTCACCGCTATTTTCCTGATTTTTTTTTTTAGTGTTCACATTTATTGACTCCATCTTTTTCACATCAGCTTATTTCAGTATCCCTTACAAAGCATCAGTGAAGCACTCTGCTACTCAACAGATTGTCAGTGTTTCTAACCTATCAGTTGCTCCATGGGAAAAGAACATTTTCAAAAAACCAAACCAAAACTGGAGAACTCTGGTGATTTAATCCATATGGAGTTGCACAACTAACCCTCTGTAGGAGCCCAGACCCACCAGCCACTCCTCTGGAGAAAAAAAAAGATATCTGCTCAAATACAAAATACTGTGTAGAAAACTCAGTGGGATACGTGTACTTGTTATGAAGGATTATGTGATCAATTCGACAAAACACAAAAGCAGCTTTTGTTTCTTTATGACAACCAGTGGTGACATTTTATTATTCATTTAAAAATGATAACGTTTTTTACTTTAACAATCTTCATCTAATTAGGAATAGATATTTTTATAATACTTAGACTTCCCTTAGTGTTTTATTTCTTGAATGTGTTTTTGTTCTTAAAATAGTGTGTCTGAGACAGTGGGATTGGCATAGAACAGAGTTTAGGCCTGTTGTACATAGGGTTACTATGAGTCGCAAGCAATTCGACAGCACATAACAATAACATATATGCATAGAAACAAAATACATTTTTTCTGTGTATATGTCTTTGTTTTGTGTTGTCGTGTCAGATCTGACTCATACCTGACTCTCCAGCAGATTTTCAGAGGTAGTAAACCCCACAGGAGGAAGATAGTGCTCATTTTTCTTCCACAGAGCAACTGGTGGATTTGAGCTTTGTGCCCTTGGGGTGTGCAGCACAACTCCTTACCACTAACCCAGCAGAGTTCTCTATTCTTTTATATAGATGATACTTATGTCTATACCAACAACAACCACCACCAAAGAGAGCCCTGTTGGCCTAGTGGATCGAAAGTCATGCTACTAAGCCAAAGGTGAAAGGTGAATGATTTTCATCTGTGGCCCTCAGACCTGGTTTTAATTGTTATGGGTCAAACGTTCCAAGGTGTATAGCACTGGTCTGTCCATTTGCTGTATAGAGGTAACTCATAGTTGCTGGATGCTAAACACTGAGACACTGATGTGTCAAATGTGATAATGGTTACACATCGTGGACAGTGTTTGGTGGAGCTTCCTGATTAAAAAAGTTTAGAAGCAGGAGTGGCATCCACTTCCAAAATAGCTTGCCTCTGGAAACTCTATGAGCGTGGAATAATGACCAAAGTTATATAAGTGTCAAGTCTTGTTCATAGGGTTGCTATGAGTCATCTATCACTCGATGGCACTTAACAACAACAACAACATACGTACTTACAGTCCTTGGAGAGGGACATTATGCTTGGGAGGATAAAAGGACAGTGCAAGAGAGGAAAACCCTTGATGAGATGGATTGACTCAGTGTCTGGGGTACCGGGGGTGGTGTGTCAGAGACAATAAGGTAGGCTCAGCATAGAGCAGGATTTAGGGCTGTTGTACATAGGGTCACTACGAGTCTCAGGCAACTTGATGGCACATAACAACAACAGCAGTACTCAGTTATATAGAAATTTTTAAATTTCATACTTAGAAGTACAGTAAATTAAGGTTTTCAAGCCAATTAGTGCAATTATTTTTTTTTTACATATTACCACATTCTGCTTGTTGTTGTTATTAAGTGCTGTTGAGTGGTAGGTAGGTGACTCATAGCAACCCTATGAACAGAAGTCCTCGACACTTTGCGTTTATGACTTTCATCCTTTCTCCAGGTTTGCAGGGTTTCCGGAGGCAAGCTATTTACGGGAGTGTATGCCACTCCTGCTTCCAAGCTTGTTTTAACCGGGGAGCGCCACCAAACGCTGTCCACCATGGGTAACCGTTATTGCCTTTGACACGTTAGTGTCACAGTGTTCAGCTTCACAGTAACCACAAGTTACCTCTGTATGGCAGGCGGACACGCCAGGGCTATATGACCTAGAAGAGTGTTTCACCAAAAGCAATTAAAGATGGGCCTTAGGGCCGCAGATTAGAGTCACCCACCTGTGGCTTGGGAGCATCGCTTTCGGTCCGCTAGGCCAACTGGTCTCTTTTTATCTTGTTAAGTGCTGTCGAGTCGTAGGCACATTCTGGTAGGAATGAAATTATACTTCAGTTTTTTAAGCCATAAGTCTCTTAATTAATTGCTGCTCCTACTGGTACCCTGACAGCATAACAGCAACATCCTTTTATTTCTGTGTGCTCAATGATGGGCACTAGGGAAATCTCCGCCTAGATGCAGCACTTCCTAAGGACATTTCATGATGTCGTGACACAAACAATATTAATGCTTTAAGAGTCAAAACAACACCACCCATTGCACTAATTTTTTTTTGCTGGCTCTTGGTGAATATTTGGATTTTTTAAGATATTGTTTTCTGGTCTTTGCAACGTGATCCTTCTATCTGAAACACCAATGGAATATTTCATTTGTGATAAATCTCCCTCTCACTGAGTCTCTCCTTATACTCTTTTAACTTCTTATGTTAACAGTAGGGGTGGAGGGAGAGGTGCAGGTAAAGAATCCCTCTGCACAAAGTACTCATAAGATTAGACTGGCCTGCTTGAACAATCTCCCTTCTCATGCAGCTCTGGTGGCCTAGTCCCTGTGGAGTCCAGTTAAACACTTCAAATCTCTGGGAGTTCAAAGCCATCAAAAGCTCTAACAGAGAACCATGATCATTCTCTTCCCTTGAAAATTTATAGTCTCAGGTCACTATGAGTTGGAACAGACTCAACTGTAGTGAGCTTTTTGAGTATTGGCTCTAAGTCAATGGATTAATTTACTTTCTTGGTTGTGGTACCCACGAGTTGGTTCCAACTCATAGCTACTCGATGTACAACAGAATTCAATACTAGTCTCCCTTGTACCATCTTCATAATTATTATGTTTAAGCCTATTGCTGCCATTGTGTCAATTCATCTTGTTGAAAATCTTCATTTTTTGCCCTGCCTGTCTGTTTTACCAATTATAATGTCCTCTGTTTTAGCTTCAAACTGACATCATCGCTCCTTGGTAATTTGAAGAGGTCTTTGACAATGGACCTTCCCAATGTATCTCCTGAGGAGAAGCTAAAGATTGAATAAATATTTTCCAAATCTAAAATTCTAGTTGTATATCTTGGAATAGAGTAAAAGAGGCATAGATAACATTTACTAAATGAACTTTCCAGAATGAATTGTTCACACCTTTCTTTTACTCAGTTGCACTACCATTTAATTCCAGTGTAAGAATTCCAATTCTATGCTTTTTAAACTTTAGGACTCCAAGTAACTGAGGATGCTATAAACATTTTAAAACATGGAAACCTGGTCATGAATTGTGTGGTCTTAACACGAAATAGTTAATCGAGTTAAAAAGATTGCTGAACACATGATTGGGACATTCACGGAATATGTTGACAGGGCAAAAAGCTAGACTGTTGGCAGAAAACTAGAGTCTATATTGAAGCCAGGCAAATATTGCCCACAGAGCCACACCAGAGGAGCTTGAAGCCCATCCATTTTTAAATGACAAGAAGACACCCTCAGCTCAGCCACTGTGCTTTAAGGTAGACAATTTCTATTATCCTGATTGCTTCTAAATAAAGTGATTTTAAAAGTACATACCTGTTTTTTCTTTGTAAAAAAACTATCATTTTATGCTCTAATTTCCTGTGAAGAGGGTCTATAAGGAGCCAAGCTTCTGACATATGAAAATATTTAAGTGTAATGTATCTTCAAACCAAAGATGGTACTTGACCAGCTTGAAAATGAGAAATGAATTTGACTATTCTCAGAGCTGCTTTTTTTTTTTATACTTAGGGATTTGGAGATACATTAATTGCTTTTATTTATGATACTTTTATTTTTGCCCAAATGAAGAGACTTGATCACAGTTGTCTTTCTCTTTATCTAATTAATTGCCTTTCCAAAATTATTAACAACCTAGAATGTAAATCAGTAATAGACTTAATAATAGTCTAGATGTCTCTATTTGTGTGTTAGAAAGGTCTGATCAATTTTTTAAGGTCCTTCAGCACAAAATGTACAGAAAAATGCCTGTTGTCTATACTGATAATTGGGTAACTAGATTTAAAATACAGACACATAAAAATATAGAGTAATCCACATGTTGTTTTGTTTCTTAGGATGATTTCATTCTGGCAAGCAGCTTATTTCATTTCCTTGTTTGCGACAGTTTCCTGTGGTAAGTGGATTATCTACAAGACACAAAGTTAAGGTTTTGTGATAGAGAAGAGTAGGATTTGTGATAGAAGAGTAGTTAGGTAAAACATTCCACGTTTGGAGGAAATTACGGAACACACAGTTTGAGAAAAGGAAGGAACTCGTGATAAATCAGGACACATGTCCTGTTAATGTTTGGAGTCAAGTTCCACTTCTGTATATTTTTTTTCTTGACTAACAACCACAGATCAAGAAGGGAAGTCCAGGAATGCATACTGTTATAGGACTATGCTAATAGAAAATATTATCTAGCAAAACTCTACACAATAAAAATTTCAAGATGAACTAAAGATCAGCTTTCTGCTTTTGTTATCAAAGTTAAAAAAGTCAACTTTATCCAAATGTTTAAAAGGTGGCACAGTAATTATATATTGTGCTGCTGCTTTCTGAAAGTTAGATGTTCAAATCCACCAGCTGCTCCAGTGGAGAACTATGAGAAGTCTTCTCCCATAAATATTCAGCCTCGGGGAGCTCTGGTGGCCTAGTGGCAAGAAGCTGCATTGCAATCCCAGAGGCGCACAGTTCAAATCCACCAGATGCTCTGCCGAAGAAGGAGGGACAACCTCCTCCTTTACCAATCAGATCTGATTTGACGGTACACCCACCCACACACACACACACACACACACACACAAATAATAAAATAAAAACTTTAAAAAAATATTCAGCCTCAGGTTCTATGACGGGTCATCATCAGAATCAATTCAATGGACTTGGTTTGGACTGCTTTTACAGAAAAAAAAACCTTAACATTGGGGAGATCGGTTTGATTTTTGGGGTCCAACCCAAAGGTTATCAGATATATACTTTTTAAATAATTTTAAACCGCTGGGGAATTATTTAATTAATAAAAGTGATTTAACTTTATAAGATATCCATTTGACACTCTTGGCTGAGTATTTTTCCAACATCAGATCCATGCATGTCATTCATTTTCATAAAATAAGGATGATACTTAACATTGATTTTCACTAATCAGTACTAAGTGAAATTTTCGTTTTTCTCTCACTTTGTGTGGATTTCATGTTACTGAAAAATGATTGTTTACTTATCTTTAACCTGTAAGGCTAAAATAAATGTCTCTTAGGTTAGGATTACATTTGTAAGACATTGCATTCCCTCAGGAGGAAGTTGGTTTTTTGGTTGGTTTTTGAGGGTTTTTGTTTGTTTGTTTGTATGCAGTCATTTATATCCATTGTGTTTCTTTCATGTACTTTGCATTTTGTACAATCATTCATATGCATTGTGTTTTATGTAATTACTTTTGATCCAGGCCTTTCATCATCCTGTCTTTCAAGTCCCCATTTCACCTTGCCTATTCCCTCACTCCCCACCCAATTTATAATTTCTCCTGTCTTAATGATTTTCATCACTCCTTCTTTCACCTTCCTTCCTCCTAGCATACTCCTCTTGTTGAACAGTGACACATATCTTGTCGCTATTTGCTCATGACAATAGCTGTATTGTCCTTATGTGGATTCTTCTCTGGTCCTATACAGTGTCTATCTATCTATCTATCTATCTATCTATCTATCTATCTATCTATCTATCTATTTTCTATTTCTGCTCTTTCCTACCACCACCCTTCATTCACTCTCCTATTTTCACAATAGCAGTCTTAGGCAATATATACCCTTTTCTGACAGGGTTATTTCACTCAGCATCATGTCCTTAAGATTCACCAATGTTAGGTAGTTTTTTACATTTTTTTTCATTGATCTTTATGGCTGCATAATATTCCACTGTGTAATGTATCGTAATTTTTCTATTTATTCCTTTGTGATGAGCATTTGGGTTGTATCCATCTTCTTGTTATTGTGAATAATGCTTCCATGAGCATAGGTGTATATATTTTATTAATTTTGTCTCAGCTCTGATTTCCTGATATTCCTAGTAGTGCAATGTTCTTGTTGTTGTTGTTAAGTGCTGTCAAATCAAGTATGCAACTTTATGAACAACAAATCTGAACCCCTGTGCCATCCTGATCATCTCCGACACATTCAAACTCATTGCTGCAGACTCTGTGTTAATTCATTTCATTGAGGACCTTCGTTTCCTTCACTGAACCTATACCATTTCAAGTATGGCATTATTTTACAAGGAATAGCCTTTTATAACAACATGTCCAGAATATGTAAGACAAAGTGTCTTCATTCTTGCCTCCAAAGAACACCCTGGTTGTACTTTCTTGAAGACAGCTGTTCATTTGGCAGTCCATGGGATATTCAGCACTTTTCTCCCACATCACAACTCAGATGCACTGACTCTTTTCCTGTCATCTTTATTCATTGTTCAGCTCTCAAATGAATATCAGGTGATTTGAAAAAATGTGACTTGAGTCAGGTATCTCTTAGTCTTTACACTGATGTAATTGCTCTTCAGGACTGTAGTAATATCCCTGAGAGTAGACATTGTCAATGTCATATGTCTACAAATCTCCTGACTGCTGATCCCAAGATGTTGAATGTGAATCCAAGCAAGATGAAAATCAGTGAAATAACTGGGAATACAGGATTTCTATATTCACCTTTTTGAAGAAATACTAGGCTGTCTTCTATAGTGGTTGTCCGATCAGCAGTGTAAGAGGATTCACTCTCTCTGCATCCCTCTCCAATATTTATTGTTTGCTGTCCTATTAAACTTTGCTACTACTTCTGGGGTGAGATGGGATCTCATTGTTGTTTGATTTGCGTCTCTCTGCTGGCTAGTGATTTTGAACATTTCCTCATGCGTTTGTTGGCAAACCAAATAAAAGTCACTTGGTGAAGTGACTTTTCATGTCTTTTAGCCAATTCTCAGTCATTTTCTTTTAGGGGCACTGATGCTATTATTTGTTGTTAGATGCCTTTGAATCAAGTGTAACTCATAGAGAATCTATGAACAACATATCTGAACTCTTTTCTATCCTATGCCCACCTTTCAATCTCTGACATACTCATGCCCATTTCTGTAGTTACTGTTTCAATCCACTGGGTCTTTCTCTCTTTTGCCATCCCACCACTTGTTCGAGCACACTGTACCTATCCAAAGAATAGCCTCTCCTAGTAACATATCCTGAATCAGTGCACTTTTACTCCTCAACTAACATCATTGCTCTTTAGAGAGAGGTACTTGATTGTAGACATTGTCAATGCATTTTCAAATCTCCTGACTGCAACTACCAAGAGTATTGATTGTGGATCCAAGTAAGATGAAGTTGTTGACAGTTTTAATCTTTTCTCCATCTATTATGATGTCTGTCTGTCCAATGGAAAGAATTTTTTTACTTGACATTGAAATGCAATCTATACAGAAGGCTGAAGTGTTTAACTTTCTTCAGCAAGTGCTTCAAGTCTTCCTCACTTTCAGCAGCGAGCTTGTATCATCCACGTAACAAATGTTATATTGATGAATCTGCCTCCAATCCTGATACCACAATCTTCTTCATAGAGTCCAGATTCTTGAATAATTTGCTCAGCATTCAGATTAAATAGATATGGAGAAAGGATACAACCCTGACACATAACTTTCCTAATTTAAACCCATGTGGTGTTAGCTTTCTCTGTTTGCACAATAGCCTCTGTCCTGGTATTCTCATTCTTTTCAAGGTTAGCCTTAGTTTGTTATGATCCATATAAACAAATGCCTTTATATAGTAAATAAAGCACAAATAGACATAACTGACATTTTTTGCTTTCAACCAAGCTCTATCTGACATCTCTTCTAAATCCCACTTGAATTTCTGGCAGTTCTGTGTCTATGTAGTGTTCTAGTCCGAAAGGAATGATTTGCACCAGTATTTTGCTTGCATATGATATTGTTCAGTAATTTCCACATTCTGTTGGATTGCATTTCTTGGGAATGGGAGCAAATATGAATCTCTTCTAGTCAGTCAACCAGGCAGATGTCTTCGAAATTTCCTGTCAGACTAGTGGAGACATTGTAGTATTATGTACACTGAAGCTATGAATTCCTCATCTGGAATGTCATTGCCAAGTATTTTTTCTGGTCTATGGGCTCAGATAATTGATTTTTAGAAAATCATATTTGTTGATTTTGTCCTCTCCTGGTTTGCATTTTGATTTTGTTTGTTAGCCTATTTAGTCTTAGATGATGACTTTTGAGTTTTTCTCTGTGGTATTAATACATTTTGGGTTTACCTTTAGGTATCTGATCACTTTGATTTGGTTTCTGTGTGTTGAGTGAAATGTGGATCCTGTTGAGGTTTCTGCAGGTAGATATCCAGCTTTGTCCGCAGTATTTTCTCATTTAACGGGTTTTGTTTTCTTGTTGAATATCAATTTGCCATAGATAGATAGATGGATTTGTTTCTGGGTTCTCAATTTTATTTCATTGTCTATGTACTTAAATTATGCTGTTTTGATTATTATGGTTGTGCCACAAGTTTTGAGATCAGGGGATATGATGCTTCTTGAATTGCTCTAACTTTTCTAGAGAGTTTTGTTTATTTGGGGGTATCTTTCCTTTCCATATGAAATTGGAAATTTCATACCTCCTTGAACAATGATATTGATATTTGCATTTTGTATGGAGCCTATAGATTGCTTATAATAAGAGTGTCACTTTCAAAATATTGAACATTTTTTTATGGAATTCCCCCCCACCCCCATTCGTCTAGATCTCTTACTGTTTCTTGTGGTAGTGTTTTGTAGTTTCCCTTAAATAGGTTTTTTTGTGTCTCTGATTTTTTTTTTTGCTGTTTGGTACTGTCAAATCAAAACCAACTCAAAGTTGACTTTCCAATAGGTCTTTAGAGGCAGTAAATCACACAGAAGAAGATAGATCATATTTCTATTGCAGAGCACCTGGTGTATTCAAACCTCTGTTGCTGTGTACCATCGAGTTGAAACTGACCCACAACTGACCATCCAGTGAGTTTTCAAGCAGTTAATTGCACTGGAGGAGATTATCCCTCCTTCTCCCACGGAGCAACTGGTGGCCTCGAACTGCGTGCCTTCAGGGGAAGCAGTGCAGCTTCTTGCCACTAGGCCATGAGAGCTCCCTTATTCAAAACTCTAGTTAGGTTTATTCCTAGTTATTTTGACTTTTAGTTTGCCATTGTAAACAGTATTTCTTTTCTTATGTTCTTGTCAGTGTTTTCATTGTTGCTTGTAGAAAAATCTAACTGATTTTTTTTATGTTGATCCTATAACCTGCCTCTCTCCTGAACTGGTCTACTAGGACTAGCAAATTGTCTTCCAGGTTGTTGGATTTGGTTTTTTTTTGTAGGTGTTTTTTTGTTTTCTTCTGTTTTTTTAATTTCTTCAGCAGGAAGTTTTTTAAACACCCCCCCCCACTCCAGCTCACAGTTGTTCCACCTGCCTCCTCATTTCTTAGTGCTCTTTGAACCATAATTAACAGCATACAAATTCATTTCATGTTGAAGAGAAATAGAAGCAATAGAAGAGAAATGATAGTGTACTATGGCTACTTCAATCCTATTTCTTGAAAAAATATGAAAAGAGACATGGAGGCAAGGTAGCCAGATGAAGATAACGGCAGAAATTGGCTTTATGCTGCCACAAACAAAGGAATAACTGGGAGGCTAGAAGCTGGGGAAGTAACAAAAGATTATCCCTCAAAAATCTTATAAGAAAATATTACCCTTTTGAAACCTTGAATTTAGGTTTCTATCTTATAAGTCTGTGAGACAATAGTTTTCTGTTTTCCTAAACTTGTCATACTGTGATAGTGAGATAACCTTAGAAAACAAATACATGTCCTATATGTACTATTTTGTATACACATCTTTATATATTTTTCTGTTGTTGTTGTGTGCCATTGAGTCAGAATCAACCCATAGCTGGCCCTCTGGGGGGTTTTAGAGACGGTTAATCACATAAGAGGAGATCGCCCAGTCTTCTCCCATGGAGGAGTTGGTGGATTAGAACCTCATGCCTTCGGGATAGCAGCACAACTTCTTGCCACTAGGCCACTAGGGCTATATACTCACATATGTCTGTTAAAAATGTTTGAAAAATAAAATCAAATCCAAAAAAACAACAAAGCAAAATACAAAAGCTTAAATGTTTGGAATGTTTTGTTACCTATGCTTTAAAATTATCTTCAGAGATTTTTTAATGTGAAATTGATTTTTCCAGCTGCATATGAGCTTGTTCCTTGATTCATCCTGAAACCAAGTCTCACAGGCTTTTGTTACTCATAAGCAGCACATAATGAAATGTGTGTGAAGAATACTGTGTGTCTGAAGAATATTGAATATAGAATACAGAATGGACTGCTAAAAGAACAAAGTTGTCTTGGAAGAAATGTAGCCAGAGTGTTCTTTAGAAGCAAGGATGGAATGACACTGTCTTTCACATCTTGGGCATATTATCAAGGGAGTTAACCTTTGAAAAAAGATACCATACATAGTAGTGCAGAGAGTCATTGAAGGAGGAAGATACTCAATCCTGATGCCACATTCCTCCTCATACAGCCCAGCCTCCTGGATGAACTGTTCTGCATACAGATTGAATAGGTATGGAGACAGAATACATCCCCGGGGGACACCCTTCCTGATTTTAAACCATGCAGTGTTTCCTTGCCCTGTTCTGACGATTGCCTCTTTGTTCAAGTATAGATTTAGCATAAACATAATTAAATTTTCTGGGATTACCATTCTTCTTAGAGTCAACCACAGTTTGTTGTGATCTACACAGTAAAAAGCCTTTGCATCGTCAATGAAGCACAGATGCACATTCCTCTGGTATTCTCTGCTTTCAGCCAAGATCCATCTAACATTAGCTATAATATCACTAGTACCATGGCCTACTATTTAATATTTTCTGGTCTAGTAGACAAAATGGCATCTAGTTGTTTTTACACCTATAGATACGTATTTTCAACCTTTTCTTATATACTTACTGCTATTGTGCTGTTATGTACAGTCAAGTTGAATTCAATTCATAGTAAAACTATGAGATAGTGCTGAATTGCCCCATGGAGTTTTCTTGGTTGTAATATTTACCAAAGAAGACTGATCAGATTTTTTTTTCATTCAGATCATCTGGGAGGAGCTTTGTAATAGTGCTTTATACAAACTCTAAAATTCAATACGAGTAAACCCGATATCATTATCATCGTACCACCACCTTGAGAGGATAAGCATGAACCATCTATGAGAACTTTCCTCCCAGTCAACTTTGTCACTCCACATTTGGTCCTTCTTAGTCACCTTCCTTTCTGTCCAACCACATACTGAATCACAAGGCACTTCATTCATATAAGTTTATCTACAGAGTGGCAACTCCCAGAGTAGCCCAGCAATTCTAGTGTGTGCACTGAGATGACAGTGGGAAGTAAAGCCTGGAAAATTATGAAGAAGTCAAAACATCAGTTGTATTCAAAACAGACCTCCTTATAATGAATACTGCCAACAACTCAAAATACTCAAAAAAATATCCATACAATCTATTGAAATCACTTGGTCACTTGTATTTCCAGAAGTCTTTATGTGGTATTTTGGCTTTGGGTTGTTTGTTTGTTTGTTTTTAATTCCCCTAAAGATATCTGTGCTCTTTCTAAATGAAAACCTTACCCAAAGATAATCATCTTAGTCATACCTCTGAGAAGAAGGTGATCAGTCTTTTAAGGATTGACAGTCACAAGAGACCTCAGGACTGGAATCCTTGGAGAAGCAGAACTGTGCAAAGAAAACTTTAATTGTCAATGCTAATGAAATGCTTGCTGTCTACACTGTATGGACATTCCCTGGACAGCAGTAAAAACGGATATTACTAAAACTGCTGTAGTGAATAGACAAACCTAAACAGCTCTCCAAGATGAGGTTGAGGTTTTTTAAACAGACTTCAAGGTGTATCTTTCAAGGCAAACTTAAATTGATATATTAAAAAATAGTAAATTTTCAGTTGATTACATATTAGAGTCCTGAATAATTCAAAAGAATAAATAGTTTAAAAATTATTTTTAATTCACTATTAGCAACCATTTATTTAAAACTACCTGAAAAATGAACTTGTAATATTTACACATACACTGTTTTCTCTGCACTCATTCCTAAATTAGTAAACACCAAAAAATGTTTACTTAGCTTAAATTAAATTAAGAATTAGAAACAATCTTACCTTTGCACATTAGAAAAAGGAAAAATAATTGGAGACCATGGGACCCAGAAGAACTTGGTCCATGCCCCAGGGCATTCATTAGTTAGGTGATCTTGGGCAAGTCTCTACCACCTTGAGATTTAGTTACACTTTCTTTTGTTTTTTTAAATTAGAACAGATAATAAAGTCTGCTTTAGCTTTCCTTATAGAGTGGCTGTAAGAAACTTATGGAGATATTAATTAAGAAAAATTACTTCAAAACATCATACATCATTGTTTTATTAAAATGCTGTCATCATAGCCTGTTAGTGCACAGACAGAAAGCAAGCAGAGTTTTATTTACAAGGTGATCATTTAAGTGCTAAAGTATTGTATGATTAGGAAAAATCCTCTAAGTGTCTCAGACATAAGTATCTAGAAAATGGCATTAGGTAACACTGTTTTTGTTATTGCTATGTGCCACTGAGGGTCACCTGTGACCCGGAGGGTCCCTATATACAGCAGCTTTGAATCCTACCTTGCCCTGAGCCAGTCTCACTTATTCAGACACACCAAGCTCATTGCCCGAATTACTGTATCAATTCATCTCATCTGGGGACTTCCTCTCCTGTTCTGCCCCTCCACCCTTCCAAGCGTGATTTCCGTCTCCAAGGACCGATCTCTCCTGGCCATGTGCCCAAAGCATGTGAGACAGAGCTTCAAAATCCTAGCCTTCAAGGAGAAACTCTCTCTAAGACAGACCAATTTATTATCTTGCAGTCCATAATATGTTCAAGACTCTTCTCCAGCACCACAATTTGAATGTATCAATTCTTCTCCTGTTATGTTTAGTCATTGTCCAACTTTCTGAAGCATAACAAGTAATTATGAAGACCATGACCTGGATTAGGCACACCTTAGTCTCTAGATTGACATCGTTGCTTTTCAGTACTCTGGAGAGGTCCCTGACAGCAGATTTTCCCAATGCAGCTCATCTTTTGATTTCCTGACTGCTGGTGTTAAAAGTGTTGATTGTGGAACCGAGGAAGCTAAAATTGTAAATAAACTCAATCTTATCCATCTATCATGGTGCTGCCAATTGGCCCAGTGTTTTCTTGATGTTAAGCTTCATGTCTTAATACTTGTTTCAGTCACCTTCAATCATTAAAATCTTCCTGGTTATTCAGTAAAAAAAGCTTCAAGATGCAAATGCATTTCTAATAAAATAATTCCATTCATCTATTCCAAATTAATGATTTTGTTTTAAAATCAAATTACAGGATGCCAGACGCAGCTGTATAAGAATACTTTCTTCCGAGGTGGGGATGTAATCTCCATGTATACTCCAAGTGAACGACACTGTCGGATGATGTGTACCTTCCATCCCAGGTGTTTGTTATTCAGTTTTCTTCCTGCAAGCTCCACTAACGACCCACGTAAAAGGTAAATGTGTCATTATTGAGGAAGTCAGCTACTTTTCGAAATGAAATCAGATTTATGTAAAAAAATGAGCATTAAGCTAAAAAATAATTGTTGTTGTTGTTAGGTTTCTGTAAAATCAAGCACGATTCATAGTGACCCTATGAACAAAAGATCTGAACCCTGTTCTATCCTGGGCCAACCTCACACTTCCTGACACACAAGAGCCCATTGCAGCTGTCACTGTGTCAATCCACCTGATTGAGGATCTTCCTCTCTTTCGCCAACCCTTCACCTTTTTGAGCATCATTTCCTCCTCCAAGGAATAACACCTCCTAGCAACATGCCCAAATTATGTGAGGCAAAACCTCATCATTCTTGCCTCCAAAGTGCACTCTGGTGCACCCTCTCCAAGACATATTTGTTCATTCTTTTGGCAATCCATGGGATGTTCACTGCTCTTCTCTAATACCACAGCTCAAAGGCGTCGATTCTTTTTCTGTCATCCTTACTTATTATTCAGCTCTCAGATGTATGCAGATGACAAAAAAAATAGTCAACAAATATTTACCAAGGAGAAATTTTCTCAGAATCACCTTAAGTGACTTTTGTACATGCAGGTTTTTCTGTTGTTGTTGTTGTTATTGGTTCCTATAATTATATGGACTTTATGAACAACAAATTTGAACCTTGACCATTCTGCACCATCCTCATGGTCATGTCATGCATAAGACCACCGTGTTACTGCATCAATCCATTTCATTAAGGGTCTCCCTTTTTTTTTGCAGACCCTCTACCTTTTCTGCCATAATAACTCTCTCTTAAATCCCTGCTGTTGAACCTAAGACTCTGGGGCCTAGAAATTCTGCATTTTAAACAATAACTCTCTTTGCTTAAAGTAGTAGAAGGTAATCATCTATGCCAGGGCATAGGAAAATTGTTTAAAAACCCTTGGACTAAAGAATTATCTCAATAAAGGGCTGATTGTGTATGACACTATGAACATAGTTACACAAACCTATGTTTGTGTTTTAGTTCTATTTTTCTCTAAAAATAGAAATATAATTAGTAAGATGTGTATAAAAGTCTGAAGGGGAAAGGAGAGACAAAGGGACATAATATAGGGAAGGTGGGAAATCACTAAGATAGTATAGGTAGGTGGCCAGATGGGACGAGGAAAGAGCCAATGGCTACCTGAAAAGATGGGGTATGAGGCACAATGCAATGGTGTTTTATTTTATAAAACATAATGTATTTTATAAAACACAATGTGAATGAAGGAATGTGTGAAACACAATGTACATGAATGAAGCACAATGTATATGAATTTTGTGTGCAAACTAATATAAAAATTTAAAAATTAAAGGAACTATTAACAGAAGACTATTTCATGTGCTAAAGGAAACATACTATTTTCTCACTAATTATCACATTTGTAGATAACAGAATCCTAAGAAAACAGACTATATGACAACATTTTATTGATAATGTGAGTGGATGTAATGTAGTATGTGTGACAACAAAAGAGTAACTAAAAATGGAGGTGCGTTCTTTGTATGCATTTGTGCATATAAATGTGTATATATTAACTGACAGAAATAAAAAGAACATTGGAAAAATAATTCGTAATTAAAAGCTGTTTTAGTTAAGAAAGATGCTCTTAAAGATGTTAATCATAGTTTCACTTAATAAACTTTGTCAATATTTAAATGCACTCTTTTTGGTTGTTCCTATTTCCATAATCATAGCTTTTTTTGTTATATTTGACTTTGAATATTAAGGACTATTTTAAGTACTAAGAATTAGATTTTAAGAACTAAAAATAAGATAAACATTACCTAAGTGTCTGTGTTATATTTGTACAGAAATCTGGACTATATCTGGGAGGTACCTTGTTACCACTTTAATTTGATTCTAAAATATTTCTGAATAGGTTGCCCACTGTCACCACTTCTTTTCAATATTATATTGGAAGTGCTTGCTAAGGCAATATGACAAGAGAAGGAAATAAAAGGCATTCAGATCCCTAAAGAGATGGTTAAACTGTCACTATATGTAGATGATATGATAGTGTACACAGAAAACCCCAACAGAAAGACTCAACAAAAAACTGTCAAAGTTAATAGGCCAGTTTAGTAGAGTGGCAGGATATAAGATCAAAATCCAAAAAGCAGTAGAATTCCTCTATAGTAACAAAGAGAACTCAGAGAAGGAAATCAGGAAAGCCATACCATTTACAATAGCCAACTATTTACAATAGCCAACTACAAATTGAGATACTTAGGAGTGAACTGAAGTAGTGATACAAAAGACCTATACAAAGAAAACTACAGAGCATTTCTGCAAGACACAGTAAAAGACATCAAGAAATGGGCAAATGTACCCTTTTCATAAACAGGAAGACTCAATCTTGTAAAAATGACAATCCTACCAAAAGCAATCTACATATTCAATGCAATTCCAATCCAGATACCAAATTCATTTTTCAAGGAGATTGAAAGGGAATTTATCAAATTTATATGAAGAGGGAAGAGACCCTGAAAAAGCAAAAACTTCTGAAAAACAAAAATGAAGTTGGAAGGATAGCACTCCCTGACCTCAAAACCTATTACACGGCAGTAGTAACCAAAACAGCATGGTAGTGGTACAATGACAGGCACATAGACCAATGGAACAGAATTGAGAATCCAGAAATAGACCCAACTATATATGGTCAACTGATATTTTACAAAGAAATCAAAACTATCAAATGTGGAAATGATAACCTCTTCAACAAATGGTGCTAGTGAAACTGGACTTTCACCTGCAGAAAGCTGAAATAGGATCCACATCTCACACCATACACAAAAATTAACTCAGGGTGGATCAGAAATCTGGGAATAAATCCCAAACCGTAACATTCATAAGGGACAAACTGGGATCAAGCTTAGAAGTGTTAGTCCAAGATATAAAGAGACTGTCAAATACAACCTGAAATGCACAATCTAATGAGGACAAAATTGATGCATGGGACCTTCTAAAGATTAAATCCGTGTGTGCATCAAAAAGTTTTTCCAATAGGGTGAAAAGAAAACCTACAGACTGGGAACAAACATTTAATAATACCATCTCAGAAAAGAGTCTTATAACAAAAGTTTACAGAATACTCCTGAGCCTCCACAAGAAAAAGTCTGATAACCCAATTACAAAATCAGCAAAAGACATGGAAAGAATGTTCACAGAGGAAGATATTTGAATGGCAAACAGACACATAAAGGAATGCTCCAAATCACTGGCAAAAAGAGAGTAGCAAATCAAAACAATGAGGTGCCATCTCACTCCAGTAACAGTGGCAAAGTTTAACAGGGAAGCAAGTAATAGATGTTGGAGAGGATGTGGCAAGAAAGAAACTCTTCTATATTGTAGGTAGAATTAGGAAGTGGTGTAACCATTCTGGAAGGCAGTTTGGCACTTCCTCAAAATCCGATCATAGAAATTCCACGTGATGCAGTTATTCCACTACTTGGAATATACCCTGAGAAAAATGAGAACTGAGGCACAAACTGAGATTTGTACACTAATGATCCCAACAGCATTATTCATTATCGCAAGAATATGGAAACAACCCAAGCCTCCAACTACAATAGAATGGATTGAGAAATCATGATACATTTATACAGTGGAATATAATGCAGCACACATGAGCGATGATTTTGTAAATTATTACCTAACTTGGGAGGGACTGAAAAGCATTATGCTGAGTGAACTAAGTCAGTCCCTCAAGGATAAATATTGTATAAAATAATTATTGTAGAATGAGTATAAGGATCCAAGAGGGGTGGGAGATGTTGGAAGCAGAGGCATGTGGATGTGAAAGGGAAGGTGGAGATTAATCATAGGGTTGTATAATTTGAAGGGGAGGGGGTATGGGAAATTGGAAGAATTTGTTCTTGAAAACAATATATTCAAATTTTGTAAATAAACTACTGTTGGTGTTGCATGTCGAGTCACTTGCAAGACATAGAGACCCTATGTACAAGATCTCTAAACCCTGCTCTGTCTTGTAACTACCTCACTGTCTCTAACACAGCTATTCCCATTACCCCAACCACTGAATCTATCCATCTCATGGAGGGTCTTCCTCTCTTGTGCTGTCTCTCCACCATCCCAAACATGATGTCCCTCTCCAAGGACTGGTCCCTCCTTGCAGCATGCCCAGAATATGTTTGATGAAGCTTCAGAATCCTTACATCCAAGGAGCAGCCCGGTTTCACCCTCTCCAGGATGAATCTGTTTGTCCTCCTAGCAGTCTATGGTATAGTCAATACTCTTTTCCAGCACCAAAGATCAAAGGCATTAATTCTCTTTCTATCATTCCTAGTCACTGTCCAGCTCTATGACACAAAGCATGCAATTGTGAAGACTATGGCCCAGATAAGGAACACCTTAGTCTCCAGCCTGACGTCTTTGTTCTTCAGTACTCTGGAGAGGTCCCTGACGGTTGACTTTGCCAATGCAATTCATCTCTTGATTTTCTGGCTGCTGGCAGCAAGAGTGTTGATTGTGAAGCCAAGCAAACTAAAATTGTTAACAATCTCAACCTCTTCATCATCCATAATGATGCTGCCAATTGGCCTAGTGGTGAGAATCTTTGTTGTCTTGATGTTGAGCTTCAATCCATATTGAAGGCTGCAGTCCTTGAACTTCTGCAGAAAGTGCTTCAGGTCCTCCTCAGCAAGCAGGGTTGTGTCATCTGCATAACACAGGTTGCTGATGACTCTTCCTCCAATCCTGATGCCACAGTCCTCCTGGTACAGTCCAGCATCCTGGATGAACTGTTCTGCATGCAGATTGAAAAGGTATGGAGACAGAATACATACCTGGTGGATACCCTTCCTGATTTTGAATGATGCAGTTTCTTTTTGCTCTCTTCTGACGACTGCCTCTTGGTTCAAGAATAGGTGTCGCATTAGCATGATCAAGTGTTCTAGGATTCCAATTCTGCTCAGAGTCAGCCACAGTTTGTTGTGATCCACACAGTCAAAAGCCTTTGCAGAGTCAATGAAACACAGGTACACATTCTTCTGGTATTCCCTGTTTTCTGCCAAGATCCATCTAACATTAGCTATAATATCCCTAGTATCATGACCTCTTCTAAATCCAGCCTGCACATCTGGCAGTTCTCTGTTGATGTGCTGTTTCAGTCGTTTTTGGATAATTTTCAGTAGAATCTTGCTTGCATGTGATATCAATGACATTGTTCGATAATTTACACACTCTGTTGGGTCACCCTTCTTTGGCATGGGAACAAATATTGACCTCTTCCAGTCAGTTGGCCAAGTGGTTGTCCTCCAGATTTCTCGGAACAACTTAGTAAGCACATCCAGGTGTTTCTACCTTTTTTTGGGTGTGTGTGTGGGGGGGGTCAGAAATTTCATTGGGAAATTTGTTGTCTTTGATCTCTTTATTATGCTTAAGATCAATGATGCCAATTTAAAGATTAAGTACTCTGGATCCAAGTCATGATATTTTCAATGGTTTCATATGCAAGTGAGATAATGAAGACCAAATAAGAATTGGTGCCTAGGCTAGGTATCGAAATGATCACTACTAACTAATTGCCTATAAGAATGTACTTTACTACAATATAACAGAAACGTGTTCGGTTTTTAGTTTGTAGAAAATATTTGACATTATATCACCACCTGCTTACTATTCTTTCTACCTCAAACTAATTTTTAAAACAGGTTTGGTTGCTACTTGAAAGAAAGTGTAACTGGAATTCTTGAAAGAGTCCCAAAGGCAGGTGCAATTTCTGGACATTCTTTAAAGCACTGTGGTCCTCGAATCAGTGGTGAGTTGTAAAATTTTTACCTATATTTGAATTATTCATGTTTCTAGATTAGAATAATTTTACAGAAATTTGGGACAGAAATTTATGGAAAGGACACCCCCAAAATAGATATAAGATTAAACCAGGCTTCTCGTTGGAGGCAAGGATTCTGAGGATTCATCTGACATACTTTGGACATGTTGCAAGGAGGGACCAATCCTTGGAGAAGGACGTCATGCTTGGGAGGGTGGAGGGACAACACAGGAGTGGAAGACCCTCTATGAGGTGGATTGATTCAATGACTGGGGTAATTGGCGATATGTGTGTCAGAGAGAGTGAGACTGGCACAGGACAGAGAAGGGTTTAGGGCAGTTGTACATAGGGTCGCTATGAGTTGCAGTGATTCAATGGCACATAACAATATATACATGTGTTTGTATACAAATATAGATGTTTGTATATGTATGTGTGCTTATCTATGTATATGTGGATAGGTAAATAGTCTGTAATTTGCAGAAAGTAAATATGCATCCAAACCAATCGTCTCTCTTTGGTTCCAGAGAATTTTTAAGAGCACACTCTTTTTTTTACCGTTTCTTTTGTGAGTAGTGTGTACACCAGTACTTCTCATTGGTTCTTGATTTTACTCTACCAAGGGAAATTTTACAATGCCTGGAAGCTGTTCGGTTTTCAAAACTGAGGGATGAAATTGGCTTCTAGTGAGTAGAAACAAGAGATGCTGCTGGATCCTAAGGTGTACTGGCAAATCTTGACAACAAGCCTAAATATCTCAATAGTGTAGAGATTTAAGAAATTCTGTTGTATGTATTTAAAGCAAATTGAAGCATTAGGCTCTGCAAGTCTTGCTAAGACTAATACATCTCAGAAAAAGTGAAAACCAGGACCCCTATAAGCCTTCATTTTGTTATTTGTTGCTCCGGATGTCCTATGACACAGTTTTCAAACTTCTAATTTATATTTCCTATCCTAATATAGCATTTGACACACCAGAGGCATAACTTTCAGTATCATGGAAACTCAAAACTTACCTCAGTACAGTAAACTGACAGACAAGGGCTGTATTAATAATAATGAATTCCCCAAATACAACAAACTGGCAACTTAGTGTTGTACATCTAATAACAAAATGTTGTTATTGTTGTTATGTGTTGTTGAGTCTCTTGCGACCACATAGGGTTTTTGAAGGCCTGTTATGTTTCAGAAGTGAATGGACAATCTTTCTTCCTAGAATAGCAAATTAAGCATACAAATATCATGTTATCAGATCCAGTTGAAGCCTGAATATATTATGGTTGGATTTGCTCCTGGGAGGGTACTGAAGTGTTCAGGCTGAGACTCATGGCTGACATGCTGGGCTAACATCCCACGTGTAGCTATTAAGATCACATGGAAGTCTCTGATGAATCCTTGCTGTGTTTCACACAAGGCCCAAAAGCTGCCTTGGGCCCAAACATCTGTTGATCAAAAAAGCCTGCCTTCTGGATCCCAACTGCTTTAAAGAAGAGGTCCCCAGGCTCTAAACAACTGTTGAACAAAAAGGTCCACCTTCTAGGTCCCAAATGCTTTAAATAAGAGTTTTACAATAATAAGAAGTTTATCTAGATGGTTTAAAATTAAGAAAAGGGTATGTCAGGATTGCATCCTCTTTCCATACCTATTCAGTCTGTAGACTGAGAAAATCATTTGAGAAGCCAGACTCTATGAAGAAGAATGTGGCATCAAGATCAAATAGACTCATCAATAGCCTTCATTATGCAGATAACACAACCTTGCTTGCTGAAAGTGAGAAGACTTGAAGCCCATTTTGGAGAAGATCAAATAATTCAGACTTCAATATGGAAGTCTCAATATCAAGAATTAAATTTGTTTTTTGCCGTGTTTGTGTTGAATTTTTTT